GTTATTTGATGTGAGACAGGAATTGGGAGATGGAAAACTTGGATTTTCACTCAAGGTTTTGAACTAATGCAATGAGGAAACATCATCCAAGTCAATTTTCTAATTGCCCCTTAGAAAAAAGAAAGACTGGACTAATTGATCTGAGATTCCTTGAATCTTTAAATTATCTTTGATTCTATTATTCTATAAAAAGCAATGAGCTTTTAACAGAAGGAAAGTGGAACAAAGCAGGCACACTCATTTCTCAAAGAATAAAAGGGAAGCTCTAAAGAAAGTGACCAAATAGATTTCATCCACAATAAACTGTTCACTTATTTTAGGGTTTAGAGCTACCTGAGTTAGGCAGCAAATTAATGCTTCTCTTTGTTGTAAATAAAAGCTACTCTGAGTCTTAGACTCAATCAAGTTTACAGTTTAGAAAACTAAACTTTTCTGACCCCCATTTTAATCAACTGGTACACTAATTATTAACCAAGTCAACATATTTGGAAATTCACTGACTACGATGAATCACAAAATATTGAATCATGCCACACACACAGTTAGTGTGGTGACCCTGGTGAACTGAATGTTTGGTTTGGGGGAAGCACACATGACTTAAGAGATGTGAGTTCCAGTCTCAGCTCTACCACATGCAGATACTGTGTCCTTGGCACAAGTACTGATTCTCCAAGGCCCCGTTTCTTCATTCCCCAAATGGAAATAGTTTTACCTTCAGCTAAGGTAATTGAGAGAAAATCATGGGTGTGAAAATCCTATTACGTGGTGAATAAAACATGAATCCATGTAAACATGAGGGATAAAGGATGAATGGAAGAAGATAGATAGCCCCAAAATAAACTCATGCAGTTTTGGTCAATTAATCTGCAACAAAGAGGGCAAGAATGGACAATGGAGTAAAGACAGTCATTTCAGTAAGTGGTGCTGGGAAAACTGGACAGCTGCATGTAAAAGAATAAAATTAGAACATTCTCTAACACCATATACAAAAATAAACTCAGATGGATTAAAGACATAAGTGTAGGACCAGATACTATAAAACTCTTAAAAGAACACATGGGCAAAACACTCTTTGAGATAAATCGCAACAATAACTTATTGGATCCACCTCCTTGAGTAATGAAAATTTTAAAAAAATAAGTAAATAGGACCTGAATAGTTTTTGCATGGCAAAGGCAACCATATACAAAATGAACACACAACCCACAGAATGGGAGAAAATATTTGCAAATGATGCAACTCACAGGGGATTAATCTCCAAAATATACCAACTCATGCAGCCCATTACTTAAAAAAACAAGCATCTCAAGCTAAAAGTGGGCACAAAATAGAAAAAAATAGAAATAGACATCCCTCCAAAGAAGAGGTATAGATGGCCAAAAAGCACATGAGAAGATGTCCAAAGTCACTAATTATTAGAAAAATGCATATCAAAGCTCCAATGAGAAATCACCTCACACCATGCTGAATGGCCATCTTCAGAAAGTCTACAAACAGTAAACGCTGGAGAGGGTGTGGAGAGAAGGTAACCTTCCTGCACTGTTAGTAGGAATGTAAATTGGTACAGCTACTGTGGAAAACATTATGGATGTTCCTTAAAAAACTAAAAATAGAGTTACCATATGATCCACCAGTCCCACCCGTGGGCTTATATCTGGAGAAAAACATACTTCGAGATTATACAAGCACCCCAGTGTTCACTGCAGCACTATTTACAAAAGCCAAGACATGGAGTTGACCTAAATACTTATTGACAGATGAGTAGATAAAGAAGGTGTGGTACGTATGACAATGGAATGCTGCTCAACCTAAGGAAACAATGTCATTTCTAGCAACATGGATGGACATAGAGATTATCATAGTAAGTGAAGTCAAAGACAAATATCATATGATATCACTTCCATGTGGAATCTAAAAAGTGATACAAATGAACTCATTTACAAAACAGAAACAGACTCAAAGTTATGGCTACCAAAGGGGAAAGGGGGAGGGAGGGATAAACTAGAAGGTGGGAATAACCTACACACACTACTATATAAATATAGATAGTAAACAAGGACCTACTGTATAAGACAAGGAACTCTACTCAGTATTCTATAGTAACTCATATGGAAAAATAATCTGAAAAAAAAAATAGGTATGTGTATAACGAAATCACTTTGCTGTATAGCTGACAGAGAAGACAATGGCACCCACTCCAGTGTTCTTGCCTGGAGAATCCCAGGGACGGGGGAGCCTGGTGGGCTGCCGTCTATGGGGTCGCACAGAGTTGGACACGACTGAAGCGACTTAGCAGTAGCAGTACATCTGAACTTAACACAACACTGTAAATCAACTATACTCCAGTATACTCCATATAAACTATTGGAGTAGTTTATACAGTAGTTATATATACTCCAATATAAACAATATACTCAACTATACTCCAATATAAAATAAAATTTTTAGAAATTTAAAATTTTTTTAAAATTTTGTAATTGGGTCTTGACAAAAACTTATTTCTCCCTGCAAAAAGATCTTAGAAATAACTGCTCTAGTCAATATAAACAAATATGATATCTTTGTAGAATATGTGATTGTAAAGGACTGCTATTAGTGATCTAGTGATGTTTACCCCTCCAGTGATATTTAGATCATCATGACAACTAACTGTCTTCTGTTTGGATCTGCATGTACTGGTGGTCCTGGACTGAGGGTCTGTTTAATGAAGTCTATGCCCCTGATCCTCCACTGAATCCACACTTGTTGTTCTGTGTAAAATCTTCCTTGCTCTTGATGACAAATTGGAATTATAATGGAGTAATCACAGTTCAGACATACAAAAATGGAGTCAGCAGGCCATTGAGGATCCAGTCTCAGGGTTGTCTCCGCACCTCTGAGAACTTGTTTCTTTGACCTGTACCAGACCCAAGGACAGGACTATCCCTATTCAGGAAACACTTAACCAGCTGCATCCTTATATTCGCAAGGTCTCCCATTGTAACTGTGCAACCATTTTGGACCCCAGCTAATGATTACTTAATAGGAGCCCTTACTTGCCAGCTCCAACAGTGATTCTTGACAAACACTTTTTGTAATTTTGTGAATTTTGCCCTCATAAGCCTCCACATTTTTGTAGTCCAGCAGAGTGTGATTCAGTTGTTTCTTGAATCTCTGTCTCTTGGGCTGCAGTCCTAACAAACTCCCAATAAGCACCTTTTTATATCAGTCAAGTCTGCATTTTCCGTGTATCCTTAATTTCATTATTTCTGACAAAGACAGACTCCAAAAGGCAACAGAAACCATTGTGTCTGGAGGCAAGTAGGAGGCTTGAGTCATAGTTTCTCAAGCCTTCCCCACTAAATTCTTGAGACTGTCTATTCCCTCCATTGCCTGAGCAAGTTTTGCACTTTGATGTTGGAGAAGGGTGAATATCTTTTTAGAATATCTTGTCTTAAGAATCTATGACGTTTCCCCTCGAAGTCCAGGGACATGCGTATCCTGTGATGCCTGTCATTTATGAACAATCAATGAACAATCAGTGGGGTGCATATTCAGAGTAATATTTTAGGCTATTTGGTTTTGTTTTTCGAAAATTGTTCTTGAGGCAGCTGAGGTATATATGAGAATGCATCACAATGGGAGTCAGAAGATCTCAGTTTAAATCCTAATTTTATTTATTATGAGCCTTGTGATGCTGGACAGTTCTCTTATCTCAGAATCACCTTTTCCCTCATATAAAAAATATCAAATTACTATCTCTACCTTCCTTTTTTTTTTTTTTTTGCTAAAGTAGATGTGAGATTTCAAGGTAAAAATCATGTAAATTTACTTAGATAATTACTGTATATATGTCTTTGGTCATTTAAGAGGTTTGAATTATATTAATGTTAAGCATGAATTCCAAGAATGACGATCTGGTTAAAATCAAGAGGTGTTTATTTGGACCTTGATAGGACTGTAGCCCAGGAAGCACAGATCCAAGAAGGTCTTAAATTGCGTTCTTCTAGGCTACAAAATGGGGAATTTAATAAAGACAAGAAACCACAAGAGTAGGTAAAGTTTTTGTCAAGAACTAGACTTGTGCTGCGGTTCATGGGGTTGCAAAGAGTCGGACACGACTGAGAGACTGAACTGAACTGAACTGAGACTTGTAGATGGCAAGAGGTTAGGATGCTTGTAAGCAAAATTGGTTGGACTTAGAAATGGTTACAGAGTTGTGAAGCAGTGGATGCAGGGATGGAGGATCAGAGGGAGGAGAGTCTGGAGAGGACTTTGAAAATACAAAATTGTAGCGAGTACCTGCTAACATATATTGTTGTGAAAATGGTTGGTGGAGTCCTTGAGTTTGACACGAAAAGAATTCAAGTTCTCAGTGATACAGGAACACTTATGTCTAAAAACCACACCCACAATGACCACCGAACTTCATTTTGGATGCCAGAACCATAGTTACTCTATTCTGATTTTTAAACTATCTTAAATATGTCATAATTAATTATTTTTTATAACTGTAATGGAAGTGCAGTACATTAAAAATTTTAAACACACACATTTTCAGGGACAAATTATCCTATATTGCATTACAAGATAATTTTTTTTAAATAAAAAAAGGCACAGAATACATTGATTTCCCTCAAAGTCATACATTTGCAACCGGTCATTGACTAGAATCCAGAGTTTTGAGCTGTTTGGGGCATCAAGTTATTTATCTTAGTGGTTCTAATTCTTGGCTGCACAATGGAAATACTTTTTTGTTGTTGTTGTGCAATTAAATGCAATTTATGCGCAATTAAATGACAGTCTCTACAGTCGTCATTGAACAGAAGGAAAACAAGACTAAAGGACACTTTAATTTTATCTTTATCAATGGCCAAAGCCCATTCAGAATAGAGTACAAAGTGGATGTGATTGAACGGTATCTTTATTCCTCAGAGAGGCCCAAGTTGAATTAGCAGGGCCTGTTACAAAAGCTCTCGATTTCAGGCTCACAGTCATCTGAGTAATAAGAGACGGCGTCAATGGATCTGGCTGTGGCCCTGGTGCTCTGTCTCTGCTCTCTGCTTCTCCTGTCACTCTGGAAACAGTGCTCTGGGACAGGGAAGCTCCCACCGGGCCCCACTCCTCTCCCGATTCTTGGAAACATCCTACAGTTAGATGTTAAGGACATCAGCAAATCTTTAACCAAGGTAAGTAGGTTTTATGTTCCTCCAGTGTCTTATAAAAGGTAAGTAAAATAAGCCCAATTTAAAAAATAATATATATTCTTATGAGCACACTGTTAAAGCAGGTCAGTTTGAAGCAAATTACTCCCTGTAAATTTGATATTTTTCTTGCCTTTTCAGGCCTGTTATTATCATAAATAGAGGAACAAATTAATGTGTTTTGTGAGTAGAGAAGTGTTTATGTCTTTGTAAGGTAGAATCAAAATCATTAAGTTTTAAAAGCTGGGAGTGTTGCCTCCTTTTTTTATTTCACATGGGACTGAATGTAAAGGGTAAGTGAAATGTTTTGTGATTAGTGATTTCTTTCCAGAAATAATTAATTTACTATATTGTTGATCAGTTGCTCAGTTGTGTCTGACTCTTTGTGACCCCATGGACTGTAGTACGCCAGGCTTCCCTGTCCTTTACCACCTCCCAGAGCTTGCTCAAACTCAAGTCCATTGAAGTCAGTGATGCCATCCAGCTATCTCGTCTTCTGTCGTCCTCTTCTCCTGCCTTCAATCTTCCCCAGCATCAGAGTCTTTTCTAATGAGTTGGCTCTTCACATCAGGTAACCAAACAAAGTATTGGAGCTTCAGTTTCAGCATGTGATTAGCAATTTCTTTCCTGAAATCATTGACTATATAAGTTGTGTGTTTTGTTCAAATGACCAGGAAAACAGAACTTTTCTGAAAAAGAGCATTGTGCCTGGTGTTAAGGAATTAATTTAGGATTAGGATGATCATGGGGGAATGAAAGAAACAAGTCATCAGTTAGGGTCCCACTGGTGGCAGCAGCATTCATTTGGATTCTGCAGGAAACTGCCATCTGTACCCTGTGAATGCTGCCGCATAGAAGGTGTTCTTCCATGAGATGCTGCATGTCCTGGCACTGCCTCTATGATGCTTCCTCTCTTTCTGTGTTAGTGATACCAGAGGATCTCAAACTAGAGTTATATGAACTTATTTTTTAAATTATAAATTTCTAGTATTCATCATTGGGTTACAGAATCAGAATTCCAATGACTGCTCCATGGGTGATTCTGAAGCAGTGGGCTGGCTGTTGGTCCAAAAGGTGGGCCTTGAGGATTGCTACATTGCTCTCAAGGATCAGAGGGTGACTATGATCTTCAAATTTGAATCGTCTACATATTAGCCCTGGGGTGCTGGACATGGAACAGAATTCTGCAACCTAAGTTTCCTTATTTATAGTGGGGAAAATAAACCCACTGAAAGTGCTGATCTGAGGATTAATTATAATCTGTGCACCAGCTACTTGGGCCATTACCCAGCATTTCAGGTCATCTGTAAGTAGAACCTATAACAATTACCACCATATTTATGCATTAAATTCTGAATTTAATACATAATGAGGTTGTCTCTGGCAGAATAAAAACATAATAGCAGGATGATAATACATTCTGCATCAGGCACAGCATAGTATCTCATATTGACTTCTTTTGCTGTTACATGCCTCTTCATTCCCAGCTCTCAAAAATCTACGGCCCTGTGTTCACTCTGTATTTTGGCATGAAGCCCATGGTGGTCTTGCATGGATATGAAGTAGTGAAGGAAGCTCTGATTGACTTGGGAGAGGAGTTTTCTAGAAGAGGCAGTTACCCAGTGTTTCAAAGAGCTACTAAGGGATACGGTAGGTGTGTATGTGTGGGTGTTCAGCATTGGCAAAGGGTAGGAGTGGGGAGGATGGAAAAGAGGAATTTGAAAACGCCGCCCCCCGCCCCCGCACTGTGGCCCCGCAGCAGATCGTGGTCCCTCTCTGAGGCTGCCATGTGTCAGCTCACTCCTCCTTCCCTAGAACTTCCTTCCTAGTTTCTGTTTCCCTCCCTGGTAGGAATCGCTTTCAGCAATGGCAAGATATGGAAGGAGACCCGGCGCTTCTCCCTCATGACCCTGAGGAATTTCGGGATGGGGAAGAGGAGCATTGAGGACCGTGTTCAAGAGGAAGCACGCTGCCTTGTGGAGGAGTTGAGAAAAACCAACGGTGGGTGATTCTATTTTCTCTTAACTCTGACCTTAACAGGCTGCTCTCTCTCCAGTGACATCCTTGGAAATATTTCAGGGAAGGCCGCATCTTTCATATGGGTATTGGCTGTCAGCCCTCAGATGAGGGGAGGGGGTTATAAAGCATAGGCAGCCAAGGAGCTTTTGTGTATCTGTGCTTATTGTGTGTGTACTCCCATGACTGTGCACGCAGTGTGGGTATAAAGACCATTTAATCAAATTATCTCCTAAACTTTTTGTTTTCAAACCAGAAACCACAAAACATAGTTTTGAGTCATTTCCTAAAAATATTAAAGAACAGAGAAGAGTAGAGATAATGTGGTTGTCTAATCTGGAATATTTTACCAGGGAATACTTGTTAATTGGACAGGGTGGGAATGACCATTATGGGACATGAAACAAGTAACACGTGTGTTCACTTAAGTGGATTATATTTATATATTCAGCCTTACAGACAATTTTGAGAGTTACTTCCAGGGCCCAGGCCTACAATTCTGGCCAATAGTAATACCATCTATGGTTTTAATCGTCTTGGTATATCTTAGTGCAATTCTCATCAATTATGCTTTCTTTGAAAAGACAGCAGTCTTTAAAAAGTATCAGCATTCATTATTTCTTGTTATTCAGTACTAATTGTACTGATTTGTATATTTTGAATAAATGTATGCTACATCTTAATTCTGTTAAAACACACATATATCAAGTCAGTTCAGTTGAGTTCAGTCTCTTAGTCGTGTCCGACTCTTTGCGACACCATGAACCGTAGCACACCAGGCCTCCCTGTCCATCCTGGAGACCACCCAAACCCATGTCCAAGTCGGTGATGCCATCCAACCATCTCATCCTCTGTCATCCCCTTCTCCTCCTGCCCTCAATCTTTCCCAGCATCAGGGTCTTTTCAAATGAGTCAGCTCTTCACATCAGGTGACCAAAGTATTGGAGTTTCAGCTTCAACATCAGTCCTTCCAATGAACACCCAGGACTGTCTCCTTTAGGATGGATTGGTTGGATCTCCTTGCAGTCCAAGGGACTCTCAAGAATCTTCTCCAACACCACAGTTCAAAAGCATCAATTCTTCTGTTCTCAGCTTTCTTTATAGTCCAACTGTCACATCCATACATGACCACTGGAAAAACCATAGCTTTGACTAGACGGACCTCTGTTGCTAAAGCAATGTCTCTGCTTTTTAATATACTATCTAGTTTGGTCATAACTGTCCTTCCAAGGAGTAAGTGTCTTTTAATTTCATGGCTGCAATCACCATCTGCAGTGATTTTGGAGGGCCCAAAAAATAAAGTCAGCTACTGTTTCCACATCTATTTACCATGAAGTGATGGGACCAGATGCCATGTAATTAGTTTCCTGAATGTTGAGCTTTAAGCCAACTTTTTCACTCTCATCTTTCACTTTCATCAAGAGGCTCTTTTAGTCTTCTTCACTTTCTGCCATAAAGGCAGTGTCATCTGCATATCTGAGGTTATTGATATTTCTCCTGGCAATCTTGATTCCAGCCTGTGCTTTATCCAGCCCAACGTTTCTCTTGATGTACTCTGCATATAAGTTAAATAAGCAGGATGACAATATACAGCCTTGATGTACTCCTTTTCCTATTTAGAACCAAGTCATGAAATATTTATTTAACTAAATTTTTACCTTAGCAACACCTGCTTATCTTGTCTTCTCCAGGTAGAATTTGGTTCTGTTTTCAGTTTGTAAATTTTGCCCCATCTTCTTTGGATTTTAGTAACCCACTCCAGTGTTCTTGCCTGGAGAATCCCAGGGACGGTGGAGCCTGGTGAGCTGCCATCTAAGGGGTTGCACAGAGTCAGACACAACTGAAGTGACTTAGCAGCAGCAGCAACAAATATGCAGTCTGGAATATATTTCTTTGCCATCTCATTTTGTCTAAATTCCTGTGTTTGTGGTCTCTGTTCCACAGGCTGCAGGACTGTAGTTCTTCTAGCTTGTCTGCCCCTTGGTGCTTGAGATTAGTCCTGGAGCTGTGCAGGCTTCCTGGTGGGTGGGACTGAAACCTGCTCATTGGTGGGTGTAGCTGGGTCTTGTCCCTCTTGTGGGCAGAGCTGTGTCACAGGGTATGTTTAGAGGACATAACTTTGGGCAGCCTAAAGTTAATAGGTAGAAGTCACCATTTTGGTAGAAATATAAATAACCTCAGATATGCAGATGACACCACCCTTATGGCAGAAAGCGAAGAAGAACTAAAGAGTCTCTTGATGAAAGTGAAAGAGAAGCATGGAAAAGCTGGCTTATTCTCTCAGATCATCCCACCCTCGCCTTCTCCCACAGAGTCCAAAAAGTAGTTAGCCTCCAACTAATAAAAATAAATGGAAAAAAAAAAGAAAAAGCTGGATTAAAACTCAACATTCAAAAAAAGCTAAGATCATGGCATTTCCCCCCACCCCTATCACTTCATGGCAAATAGATTGGGAAACAGTGGAAACAGTGACAGACTTTATTTTCTTGGGCTCCAGAGTCACTGCAGATGGTGACTGAAGCCATGAAATTAAAAGACGCTTGCTCCTTGGAAGAAAAGATATGACAAATCTAGACAGCACATTAAAAAGCAGAGACATCACTTTGCCAACAAAGGTTCAGATAGTCACAGCTATGGATTTTCCAGTAGTCATGTACAGATGTGAGAGTTGGACCATAAAGAAAGCTGAGTGATGAAGAATTGATGCTTTTGAACTTTGGTCTTGGAGAAGACTCTTGAAAGTCCCTTAAATGCAAGGAGATCAAACCAGTCAATGCTAAAAGGAAATCAGTCCTCAGTATTCATTGGAAGCATTCATGCTAAAGCTCTAATAATGTTAGTTACCTGATGTGAAGAACTGACTCTTTGGAAAGACCCTGATGCTGGGAAAGATTGATGACAGGAGGAGAAGGGGACAACAGAGGATGAGATGATTGGATGGCATCACTGACCTGATGGAGGTGACTTTGAGCAAACTCCAGGAGTTGGTGATGGACAGGGAAGCCTGGCATGCTATAGCCTATGGGGTCACAGAGGATCAGGACAGGACTGAGCGACAGACCTGAACTGAATTGATTGATATTTCTCCTAGCATCTTGATTCTAGCTTGTGCTTCATCCAGTCTGGCATTTCACATGATATACTTTGCATATAAGTTAAATAAGCAGGGTGACAATGTACAACTTTGACATACTCTTTTTCCAATTTGAAACCGGCCTGTTGTTCCATGTCTGGTTCTAACTGTTGCTTCTTGACCTGCATGCAGGTTTCTTGGGAGGCAGGTAAGGTGGTCTGGTATTCCCATGTCTTTAAGAATTTTCAACAGTTTGTTGTGATCCACACAGTCAAAGGCTTTAGTGTAGTCAATGAGGCAAATTAGATGTTTTTCTGGAAGTCCATTGCTTTTTCTATAATACAACAGATGTTGGCAATTTGATCTCTCATTCCTCTGCCTTTTCTAAATCCATCAGGTACATCTAGAAGTTCTCAGTTCACATACTATAAGCAATATCATGTGATAGTTATCTTCTCTGGCTTACTTCACTCAATATAATTTAATATTGCTGAAAATGGCATTATTTCTTTATTTTAATGACTGAGTAATATTTATTGGGGGTTTTCTGGTGACATTAGTGGTAAAGAATCTGCCAGCCAATGCAGGAGATGTGGGTTCAATTCTTGGATTAGAAAGATCTCCTTGAGAAGCAAATGGAAACCCACCCCAGTATTCCTGCTTGGAAAATCCCATGGACAGAGGGGCCTGGCAGACTATAGTCCTGGGGTCACAAAGAATCAGACATGACTTAGAGACTAGACCACACAACAATATTCATTATGTGTGTGTGTGTGTTTCACATCTTCGGCAGCCAGGCATCTGCCGATGGACATTTAGGTTGTTTCCATGTCTTTGCCACGTCACTTCAGTCGTGTCTGACCTTTTGTGACCTCACGGACCATAGCCCACCCGACTCCTCTTTCCATGGGATTCTCCAGGCATGAATATTGGAGTGGGTTGCCGTTGCCTTCTCTAGTTTCCTTGTCTTGGCTATTATAAATAGTGCTGACATGAAATCGGGATGCATGTATCTTTTTGAATTAGTGTTTTTAACTTTTCTGAATATACTCCCAGGAGTGGGATTGCTGAATCATGTGGTAGCTCTATTTTTAGTTTTTTAAGGAAGCTCCATATCATTCTCTATAGTGGTTCCATCAACTTATATTCCCACCAACAGTATAGGAGTGTTTCCTTTTCTCCAATCCTCTCTAGTATTAATTCTAAATGTATTAATTTTAATGGCCATGGTAAATGAGGGACATTAATTCTTAAAAAAGAAGAAATTTTAAACATGGAAACAAAATTAAGGGAATTCCACTCACCAAGTTACTTTTTTTTGTTTCACTTATCTAGGGATTTATATTTGAAATGAAAATTTTACATTTTATTAATATAAATTAGACAAAATATAATTAGACAAAAATCCAATTTATAATAATTGGTTAATTGTTCACTTGTATCTTAGTTTTTCTTCTCATATAGCATGGATACTTTGTGTTTTCTTACATTTATTCTTTCAAATGCATGACTTCAACTACAGTCTCTCTCTCTCACTTTAGCTTTTCCTCCCTGATTCTGCACATGAGTTTTTCAACTATTCATTTTGAGTTCCCTAACAATTTTCTTTCTTTCTGTCAGTGCTTAATTTGCAGACAGATGATATTGAACATTGATAGCTTTCGTTATCAAATCATACAAAATGGCCTCTTTAGATGTTCTTGTCATTTTCCCTTCAAATTTACAGGCACCTTGAGTGAAAAGGGTACAAGTAAAGGTGGGAGGAGTGAATTGAATATTTGTAAAAGCCTGTTATTTAACTAGCTGTGCTGAAATATCCTACTCAGGTTAAGGTAAAGTGATGTGTTGATTTTATGCATGCTGAATATTTATTTTTAAAGGAATTTGTTGATGAGATATCACTTTAGAGTTTCTAAAATTGCCTTTACCTGTTATCTCAAACACCAAGTGTCTCTTGCATATGTTTTAATGGTGTGTTCAAATTGTTTGTTATTCTTTAGGGTCGCCCTGTGATCCCACTTTCATCCTGGGATGTGCCCCCTGCAATGTGATCTGCTCCATTATTTTCCGGAATCATTTCGATTATAAAGATCAGATTCTTCTAGATCTAATGGAAAGACTGAATGAAAACATCAGGATTCTGGGCTCTCCATGGCTGCAGGTGAGGCCAAAGTCCTTTCTTCTCAAGGATTCATTTTGGCTCTTTGCCCCATGAGATCCAGATCTCTCTGGGCACCAAGCTGTGAGGTGAATGTGTGAACAACACAGTCCTGCCCAGAGCTTAGCATCATGGCGTACTCATCTGGGGATGACTGCAGAGCCCTTAAATGATAGACAGGAAAATACGTGCCCAGAATATAGAACTGCAGTTCAGTCCCATTGACCCTGTTCAGTGGTTTTTCCACCAAGATCCAAAGACCAATTTCTGTAAACTACTTTGGTAACTTCCCCAAAGCATGACCACAGCAGTAGAAGTACTTCCAGGTCCTACTGGAAAGGCTTCCATTGCCCACAAGTCTTTTTCCCCAATTTCTACTCATGGATTCTTCAGCATGTTAGCTGACAGAAATATCTATTTGGGAAGAAAGAGAGTATTTCCTTCAAGGGGCTCCCAGGGGACACTGAATATGATAGGAGACTTTGATGCTTCAGTTGGCATCTTAACTAACAAAATAATTGCTTTGAGGATGACAAAATGATTATTTTTTAGTGTAGGAACTGCAAACCAACATCACTGGTGTACCCTGTGCTGAGCTAAATGTTCTGTCCTCTGCCTAAAAGACAATGGTGTGACCTTACAGAGGTCACTTAATTGCTCTGGTTCCCAGTTACTTTATCCATAAAATGTTGAGTTGTGCTTCATGGTGTCTTTAGGACGCTTTTAGTCCTAAAATACCGATTTTATGATTGAGGCCACTAAACAGAAATAGAAATATCAGGGATCAGCTTGTTTTCTATATCAGATTACCTAAATTCCCATAATCTGATATCATCTATAAAAGGTGAATCATTGTGTTTCATGCTATCTCTTATTACATAATTGTGAGGAGAACTGATGCAGAAAATGAAAGAATTGATACAAAGATGCCTTTATACTGTAAACATGATGTATGAGTATAGGAGATGAATACCATCTTTGATCCCTGGTTATGATTTTCTCCCTGAAATACATCTATTAGCATAGAAAACTATGCATTTGTGAAGTTAAAAAGTCCCATCTATACAGTGACTGAATTATTTTAATATTTATAATTCATTTTCTAACAAGGGCTTGACATATAATGTTTAAATCTTCATTAAGTGTTTTCTTTTAATGAACAATTTTTTTTTCTAGCTCAGCAGTTTTTTTCCCTGCTCTCATTGATTATATTCCAGGGAAACATAAAAAATTCTTTGAAAATTTTGCTTGTTTGAAAAGTTATGTTTTGGGGAAAACAAGGGAACACCAAGCATCTCTGGACATTAACAACCCTCAGGACTTTATTGATTGTTTCCTGATCAAGCTGGAACAGGTAAAATGTTAATGACAGCTCAATTATTTGATTGCTTGTTTTCTGACCAAGATGGAACAGGTAAAATGGTAATGACAGCTCGATTATTTGATTGCTTGTGCATTTTTAGGGCTGTTGAATTTACCAGTGATGTTTCAGTGGTTTGGCCAGCAATGTTGACAAACATTTTAAGTACATGATATATGTCCAAATGTGTGGTATGCATTATGGAAGATATAATGTTTAATTGTTAAATTAGTTGAATATGTTGATTCTACTATTCACCTACTAGTAATATTCCTACAGTGAAGTACAGAATGACACTTCAAATGAAATGGAAACAATTAGAAACAAGTTAGAAAATACAAAATATCATGGAATAATATGAAGTTGAACATGATCATTGCACACACTGTATGAGGGAATGGAAAAGAATGGCTTAATCTAGCTGGACTTACTGCATACCAAGTGGTTGGAAATAAATCTTAATATATTTGCAGTGAAGGACAGGGGAAGGAATTTTAGATGGTGAATACTGTATATATTATATACAGTATGCATAGGCCTGTGATGAGGAAGAGTAGGTGGATGAAAGAGAGAGAGCACTTTGAGTGTGAAGTAAAAATGAATTGGTATGTATGAAATGAAATGGAATGGAATGGAATGAAATGAAATGAAATGAATTAATGAGTGAAATGAAATGATATGGAGCTGGAATTATATGTTATGAATTCTATACCATATAATTATATGGGCATGAATTCTATACCATGTGTTGAAAAGACACCCCTTTTCCCTCTTGGTACCTTTGTCAAAAATCAATGCATTCAAAATTTGACCCTTTATTTGTGTAAGTAAGTAAGTAAGTGTTAGCCACTCAGTTGTGCCCGGCTCTTTCTGACCCCATGGACTGCAGCCCACCAGGCTCCTCTGTCCATGAGATTTCCAGGCAAGGATACTGGAGTGGGTTGCCATTTCCTTCTCCAGGGTATCATCCCAACTAGGGATTGAACCCAGGTCTCTCGCATTGCAGGTGAATTCTTTACCATCTGAGCCATGAGGGAAGTGCAAATTATCAGAGAAATACAAATAAAAACTACAATAAGGTGCCACTTCACACTGGTCAGAGTGGCTGTCATCAGAAAGTCTACAAATATGGCTCAGTGGTAAAGAATCTGCCTGCCAATGCAGAAGCCACAGGAGATGTAGGGTTTGATCCCAGGTCAGGAAGATTCCCTGGAGAAGGAAGTGGCAACCCACTCCAGTATTCATGCTGGGATAATTCCATGGACAGAGGAGTCTGTCAGGCTGTAGTCCATGGGGTCACAAAGAATTGGACACGAATGAGTGACGAGGCATGCATGCAGTAAATGGTAGAGAGGATGTGGAGTAAAGGGAACCCTCCTACACTATTGGTGTGAATGTAAATTGGTACTGCCATTATGGGGACCAGTATGAAGGTTTCTCTAAAAACTATTAATAGAGTTCTCATGTGATTAGCAATCCCACTCCTAGGTATGCATCCAGAGAACACTCTAATTTGAAAAGTTATGCACCCCAGTGTTCATAATAGCACTATTTACAGTAGCCAAGACATGAAAGCAACCTAAGTATTCATCAACAGATGAATGGATAAAGAGGATGGGATATATATATTCAATGGAATATTACTCAGCCATTAAAAATGAATTAAATTATGCCATTTGAGCAATATGGATGGGCCTAGAGATTATCATACTAAGTGAAGGAAGACAGAGAAAGACAAATATTATATGATATCACTTATATGTGGAATCTATCTATCTATCTATATATATATATATAAGTTAACTTATTTATAAAACAGAAACAGACTCAGACATAGTAAACAAACTTATGGTTAGGTAATAAAGGGAAGGGGGTGATGAAATGGGAGTATGGGATTAATAGATACTCAACTACTATATATAGAATAGATAACTACTGTAAAACACAAGGGACTGTATTCAATATCTTGTAAAAACCTATAATGGAAAAGAATCCGAAAAAGCGTATATCCTCTGCTGTATAACTAAAACTAGCACAGTTTTAAAAATCAACTATACTTCATTTAATTATTTTTTCCTTTTGCCCTTCCTCTGCTGGAAACATGAGTAGATATTTCTCCAGTTGTACTGTCAGAATTTGCTCAAGTTCCTAGAATACATTTCAAAAATTATGGTAGCTCCTGGATGACTCAGTCATCCTGTGGAGTCATCCTTCTCTCAGTGTTTTCCACACTGAGCTTTTAGCAATTTCTCAAATATGATTCAGATTTTCCTACCCTAGCACTGAATTTCATTGTGATTTCCATTCATGAGCTCTTCTTTGGTAAGTCTGACTCCTTATATCCCCCTTTCAACCTCTCCAATTTAGGGGGCAGTAGTTTTCCCTTTGTGTTCAATTCTCTTAGGAGTCTTAAAAGAATTGTTGACTTTAGTCTGTTCAGTTTTTCACTTGTTATTAGGAATGGAGTTGAAACTTCCAGGGTTTTTACATGTAGAGCTATCAGATTTATCTTTCTACGTTTATGCATCTGTAAATTTTCATTCTGTTTTTTTATTTCCATCCTCATTTTATTGTGGTCAGAGAAGGTGGTTTGTATCATTTTTATCTTTTTCAATTTGTCAAGAATTGTTTATGACCTCACATATAGTTTACTGTGGAAAAAATTGTATATACACTGGAGAAGATTGTGCATCCTTCTGTTCTTGAGTGGAGTATTCTTTTATGTCTGTGAGAATAATTGACTGTAGGGTTGTTCAAGTCTTATATATTTACTCGTTGATCTTTTGCCTAGGTGTACTATACATTATTGAAAGCTGAGTTTTGAAATCTCCCACTGTTATTGTAGAACTCTCCATTTATCCTTTCAGTTTGCTTCATATATTTTGGGGGCTCTGTTACTTGATGAAAATGTGTCTATAATTACATGACTTGATGAATTCACCTTTCTTAGTCCAGTATAAATCACCCCATTCTTTTTTTTTTTTTCATTTATTTTTATTAGTTGGAGGCTAATTACTTTACATCATCGCAGTGGGTTTTGTCATACATTGAAATGAATTAGCCATGGATTTACATGTATTCCCCATCCCGGTCCCCCCTCCCACCTCCCTCTCCACCCGATCCCTCTGGGTCTTCCCAGTGCACCAGGCCCGAGCACTTGTCTCATGCACCCAACCTGGGCTGGAAATCACCCCATTCTTATTTGGTCCCTTTAAACTATTTTTGATAAAAATTTTTTCTAACATTATTATAGCCAGTCTTGCTTTAGTTGGCTACTCATAATTTGCAAAATCTCTATAACATATTAGTTATATAGTGTCACATAATGATTCAATATATGCATATATTAAAAATGATGACTACAATGTATATAATTAACATTTATTATCACACATAGTTACAGATTTTTTCTTGTAAATCTTAGGATTTGCTCTCTTAACAATTCAAATAGGGAATATGTCATTAACTATAGTCATCATGCTATATATTACATGACCAGGACTTATTTATTTTATAACTGGACTATTTGCACTTTTGATTCCCTTCATTCATTTTGATCTCTCCTCCCAACTCTCACAGCCACCAATGTATCCTCTCTATTTATAAGATCAAGTTTTTAAAATATTTCACATATAAATTTGATCATATGGTAATTTGTCTTTGTGCGTCTCATTTATTTCACTTAGCATTACTTCAAGGCCCATCCTTGTTGTCACAGACATCAGGATTTCCTTCTTTTATGACTAAGTTATATTCTATACTTGTATAGATATATTATGAATACATAGTGGAATATTTAGATACACAGTTTAAAATCTTATTCCTTCAATATCTGTCTTAAACCATAAGTTTCAATCGATTAATTATTCATATTGAAGAATTTATTTCTGCTTTACAATTTTTTGCTCTAATTTATTTTATAATTTCTGTTTCTTAGTTCCCTCAATATGGCCTTATTTTTGTTTGATCTTTTTCTAACGTACCAATTTTTTAATTTCCATCCAAATTTTTTGTGTGTTTTAAAATTAATTTCTTAGTACTTATAAAAGAAATTACTGTTAACATTCTAAATTCATAACAATTCAGTATGAACTGATTCCTCAATAGCTTCAAATCATGTACATTAACTCTGCTCCCATCCAGCTTCATCCCCCCTTTATTTCATTGGTGTCACAAAATCACATCTTTTTATTTTGTGCCTAGAATCATATAATGATTGTTTCATGATTTTTTTCTTTTAAATAACATGGGAAGTGAAATGAGGCTTTTATATTAGAATACAGTAGCTTTTGCTTTTCCATTTACCTACGTAGTTATTTTTAACAAGGAACTTGTTTGTCAATATGGCTTTGAATTATCATCTTCTTGTCCTTTGGTTTTGTTAACTGGAACCCCGTAGCTTTTAATTTGGGGATGTGTTATGTCTCCTAATTTATGGAGGGATGGTTTTGCCAAATACAGAATTCTTGGTTGGCGTATTTACACTTAAGATTTTAAATATATCTTTCCATTGATATTTGGCCTCTACAGTGTCTGTGGAAAAAATGAGCGGTTATCCAAATGATGATCCTTTGTGCATGACGAGTTACTATTCTCTTGATGCTTTGAACATTCTCTCTTTTGCTTTGGCTTTTCAGTCTGATTAAAATATGCCTTACAGTGAGTCTGCTTGGTTTCATTCCTCTTGGAGTTTGTTTAGCTTTTTTGATTTCTAGATTCATGTACTTCACAAAATGTTGGAAGTTTTCAGTCATTCTTATTCAAATACTTATTTTCTGTTCTTTCACTAACTCTTTTCTGGGATCTCATAAAGTGGATGTTAGTACAGTTGATTGAGTGCCTTGGGTCCTTAGGTTCTATTCATTTTTCTTTATTCCTTTTTCTTTCTGATAATCACACTGCTAGAAATTTTTATTCTGCTTCAGATTTGCTGTTTCTTGAATTTCCCATAGTCTACTGTTCAAACTTTCTGGTAAATTTTAAAATGTTCAGGTAGTGTGATTTTTAGCTCCAAAATTCTGTTTGATTTATTTCTATAGTACCTTTCTTGGTATTCTATACTTGTTCATACACTTTTCAGATTTTCTTTAGTTCTTGATGATTTTCATTAGCTATTTAAGCATATTAAAGACAGGTATCTTAAAGTTTTTGTTTAGTAAGTCCATATCTGGAATTCCTCAGGAATGATTTGTGTCAACTTATTTTTTTTTTCTGTTACTTGTCCATACTTCCTCCTTTTTTGTATGCTTTGTAACTTTTTAATTAAACTATTCCTAGGAAAAGCACAATCAAGAACTGGAGTATACGGTTGAAAACTTGGCAAACACTGTATTGGATTTGTTTATAGCTGGGACAGAGACGACGAGCACCACACTGAAATATGGACTCCTCCTCCTGCTGAAACACCCTGAGGTCATAGGTATGATAACATGGTGGGCAGGGTGACTTCAGAAGAGATGATAGAAACATGCTTGAATGTACTCTACCTTGTTTCTCTTAGAGAATTACTTAAATCTCTGACTGAGCAGCTTAAATTTTTTCCCCTAGATTTAATGAAGGGATAGTAACATGATGTCTTTACATAATATGTGAAGATATTAAGCACCTGAATTTCATGGGAGGTCATATGTAGCAAGCACTGCCAGCATGAATTGGCCTTGAGCTGCATATTGGTTTTGATTATGGAAAGACCACTCTGATGTCCCCACATGCTGAAAATGCAGTGTTCTAGAACCATGGTCCAAGGACTTCCTCAATAGTCTAGTGATTACAACTCAATCTCCAATGCAGGGAGTATTGATTCAAACCCAGATCAGGAAACTAAGGTCCCACATGCTGTGGACAGAGCTGCCAAAAATAAAAAAAAAAAAAAGAAAGAAACCAGGGTTGGGAAACTGGAAGCTCTCCTTATTAAAGCGAGTGGAAATCATAGAAATTTAGTGAGGCCACCTGATGCAATTTCAACAGTCTAAGAAGTCCTCTAAAGAGTTAGATTGACAATAAATTAGCTTAAGATAGGAGGTGGGAGGGGGGATCGGGAAGGGGAACACATGTAAATCCATGGCTGATTCATGTCAATGTATGGCAAAAACCACTACAATTTTGTAAAGTAATTAGCCTCCAACTAACAAAAATAAATAGGAAAAAAAATAAATAAAATATGTTTAAAAAAAAGATTCATATGTAAAGAAATTGTGTTAATCCATAAGTTTGTTTCCAGAAAAATGGTTGTTGCCAAAATACACATTGTGAGGGGTCAAGAATTTTATCTTTCAAAAAGAACTTTTTGTTAGAAATTAACTTAAAAAAATTAATTTATTTATTTTACTTTACAATATTGTATTGGTTTTGCCATACATTGACTTGAATCCGCCATAGGTGTACATGTGTTCCCCATCCTGAAGACCCCTCCCACCTCCCTCCCCTTCCCATTCCTCTGGATCATCCCAGTACACCAGCCCCTAGCACCTTGTATCATGCATTGAACCTGGACTGGCTATTCATTTCACATATGATAATTTTCATGTTTCAATGCCAATCTCCCATATCATCCCACCCTCACCCTCTCCCACAGAGTCCAAAAGACTGTTCAATACATCTGTGTCTCTTTTGCTGTCTCACATACAGGGATATCGTTACCATCTTTCTAAGTTCCATATATATGCATTAGTATACTGTATTGGTGTTTTTCTTTCTGGCTTACTTCACTCTGTATAATAGGCTCCAGTTTCATCCACCTCATTAGAACTGATTCAAATGTATTCTTTTTAATGGCTGAGTAATATTCCATTGTCTATATGTACCACTGCTTTCTTATCCATTCGTCTGCTGATGGACATCTAGGTTGCTTCCATGTCCTGGCTATTATAAACAATGCCACAATGAACACTGGGGTACACTTGTATCTTTCAATTCTGGTTTCCTCAGTGTGTATGCCCAGCAGTGGGATTGCTGGGTCATATGGAAGTTCTAATTCCAGTTTTTTAAGGAATCTCCACAGTGCTCTCCATAGTGGCTGTACTAGTTTGCATTCCCACCAACAGTGTAAGAGGGTTCCCTTTTCTCCACACCCTCTCCAGCATTTATTGCTTGTAGACTTTTGGATAGCAGCCATTCTGATTGGCATGAAATGGTACCTCACTGTGGTTTTGATTTGCATTTTTCTGATAATGAGTGATGTTGAACATATTTTCATGTGTTTGTTAGCCATCTGTATTTCTTCTTTGGAGAAATGTTTATTTAGTTCTTTGGCCCACTGTTTGATTGGGTCTTTTTATTTTCTGGAGTTGAGCTGCAAGAGTTACTTGTATATTATTGAGATTAATTCTTTGTCCGTTGCTTTGTTTGCTATTATTTTCTCCCATTCTGAAGGCTGTCTTTTCACCTTGCTTATAGTTTTCTTTGTTGTGCAGAAGCTTTTAGTTTTAATTAGGTCCCACTTGTTTATTTTTGCTTTTATTTCCAATATTCTTTGAGATTGGTAATAGAGGATCCTGCTGTGTTTTATGTCGGAGAGTGTTTTGCCTATGTTTTTCTCTAGGAGCTTAATAGTTTCTGGTCTTCTGGGAGATAGATTAAGGGGGTGCATGTCTGTGTGTGATATGTGTGTGATTTTGTATGAGGAAGGATGGAGATGTAAATTCTCAACTCTCATACCAAGATGTCAGATATTGTTTAAGAATCTGTGAGTGAGAAATAAAAATAGAGAGTCATTATTTAGAAATAGGACATGAATTTCAGAAGAAACTGCTAGAATGCTGAAAGTGGTGGCATTTGACAGCTGGAGAATGACCTGAGTACCATTGCAAATTGCACATGCATAATACACAAATACACAAAACACACATATTATAATTTAACTTTTCAACCCATATTATTCTGATATAAAATTAATATTTGATTCTTGTTCTTTCTTCAAGGACTATAATTTCTTGACTTTAAATTGTTTATATTTGAAACATTTCATCATTTCTCTTTGTTTTATCATGTATGCTAATATAGAAGGATGTACAGATGTATCTTAAGCCAGGCTTGTAAGAGACTTTTATGTGTCTGTATTATGGCCATTATCTCTCTCTGTTTAGTTCAACTTCTGGTCTTATAGTTTATCTGTATAATAATACTGGGACACCATCATAGTGCCTCATGTATCCCTGAATTGGTGTGGAATGTGGTGTGAATTTTCCTCTTTCTCCATCAATCTTCCTTACCTTCCTTATCAGCTAAGGTCCAGGAAGAGATTGACCATGTCACTGGCAGACACCAGAGCCCCTGCATGCAGGACAGGAGCCACATGCCCTACACGGATGCTATGATCCACGAGATCCAGAGATACATTGACCTGGTCCCCACCAACCTGCCCCATGCTGTGACCCATGACATTAAATTCAGAAACTACCTTATCCCCAAGGTAAGATTGTTATCTCTTTTACTGACCTCATTGATCTTGAAGTTCTCATTTACACAGTATGGGGGCAACCCTCGATGAACACAGGTGAGAGAAGTAAAAATAGTCATGTGTGTGGTGGCTTGTTGGGTTGTGTGTTGTTTCCAGTTTAGTCTGTAAAGCTTTATAACAGATTTTGACAGGTAACAGTGCAAGACTTCCAAATTTGTTCTGCTTCTTTTATGTTGTTGGGCTAACCATAGCTGTCACATTTCCAGATGAACATTAGTATCAATTTGTCAATTTACCAGAACACTCTGCTGGGATTTTTTTTATCAGAGTAGCATGCTAGATAAGTTTGGAAAGACTTAATATCATGACACATTGAATTTTTAATTTCTTGGATATGATATAGTCTTTCTATTTTAAAGACTTTCTTTAATTTTTTTCAGGCAGTGATTTGCATATTTTTTGTCTTTCCAAGGTGTTTATTGTTATTGTCATAAGCATTTTAAAATACATTTTCCATTTTTATGTGGAATATCAAAATATGTAATTGATTTGATCATTTGAATGACCTTATATGTAACAACCTTGCTAAATTTAAAGTCATTTTGAAAGCATCTCTAGTTAATAGCAATTTCTATATATATTATCCTGCTATCTGGGCTAATATCTTCATGTCTGGGCTAATATCTTCTTGTTTCATTTCTGATATGAAGGAAAGTGGAAGTTAACATCTCACTATTAGGAATGATGCTTTATGTATATTTTGTTAGATTTTTTTTCATCAGATTAGAGAAGTTTCCCCGTGGCTCAGTGATAAAAGAATCCACCTGCCAATATAGGAGATGTAGGAGATACCATTTCAAGCCCTGAGTCAGGGCGATCTCCTGGAGGAGGAAATGGCAACCATTCCAGTATTCTTGCCTGGAAAATCTCATGGACAGAGGAGCCTGGTGGCTACAGTCCATGGGGTCAAAAAGAGTCGGACATGACTGAGCAGGAACACAGACAACATATATTTGATAGACCATAACAGGATGTTTTACTTAATACAGAATTGAAGTTAAATCATTTATAAAACAGAATGACTTCACTATATGGCAATATGTGAAAATTTCTTCCATTAATAAATGCTTATCTATCCATATCCAATATTCATTAAAAGCTCCCTACTTCAGTATGCATACCTCAATAACAGTGATTATTGTATGCAGAAGAATAATAGCATGTGTACACAGGAGTTATCACTGAAACAATAATAATATTTAATGTACAGGCTATACTTAAAATTTCCTAATTTTCTTAGTATAATCTTTATAGTTTCTTTTTCCTCATAAACCAGGTGAAGGTTTATACTGTCACTTACCCCATTATTATTGGTTATGCAGTGTTGTTCACATGATAAAGTGGTACCTGCCAGATTTATCCAGGGAACAGTTCCCTTTTTTACAGCTAATACATAAAAGTCTATTACATGGTACATTAGAGCTTTGAGAGAATAGCACTTCTTAATCATTCGCCCAACACTTTTAGCTTTGCTAGTAAAACTTGTTTAAATTAATGATACTAAGCTGAATTGGTGTAAAATGTTGTTTCTAGTTTTATCATACTTCCTGTGTTTCAAATCTAGGGTTAATCTATAATGAAAGCTACCACATATTTTTTTTAAAGTAATTTTATTTCTTTATTTTTGGGTGTGGCTATGTCTTTGTTGCTACCTGTGGGCTTTTCTCTAGCTGTGGTGAGTGGGGGTTAATCCTCGTTGCAGTGCACTGGCTTCTCATTTTGCCATGACTTCTCCTGTTGTGTAACACGTGCTTTAGGGCACTAGTTGCAGTGCGTGAGCTCAACAGTTGTGGTTCCCAGGTTCTAGAGCAAAGGCTCAGTATTTGTAGTGCTTAGGCTTAGCTGCTCCACAGCATGTGGGATCTTCCCAGGGCAGGGATTGAACCCGTGTCCCTGCATTGACAGGTGGATTCTTTACCACTGAGCTACTAGGGAAGCCCTACCATATATTATTAAATAAAGACAAACAGTCTTCATGGAAATGGTAAACACTAATATTTGTTACCATGAATGCAAGCCAAGTTGCTTCAGTTGTGTCTGACTTTGTGACCCTGTGGACTAGCTCACTAGGCTCCTCTGTCCATGGGATAACTCCAGGCAAGAATACTGGAGTGGATTGCCATGCCCTCCTCCAGGGTATCTTCCAGACCCAAGGATTGAACCTGTGTCTCTTAAGTCTCCTGCGTTGGCAGGCAAGTTCTTTACCAATGAGCCACCTGGAAAGCCCCATTTGTTGCCATACTTATTATCATAGAAGATCATATATTCATTTACAAAAACACTATGAACAGATAACTCCAGACCTGTCAAGTCCAATAGAGACTTCCCATATTCAACGATAATCCACATATAAGATGAGTGAATATTGAAATGACAAAGAAAAGCAGCTGGTAGGGTCAGACAACACTGTCCAAATGTGATAAGCAGAATGGTTCATAAGGTCTGGCACCCTAGAAATACCTAGTATTTCAGAGGCTGTTTACTTAGCAGCATCATTGCCACTATTCTTTTTTTTTTTTTTTTTTTTTGGCCACCAGGTCATTTTATTTACTATAGCAAATGGTTTTTAGCTCATTTATGTATTCTTTTTTGTTTGTTTGTTTGTTTTTTCCCATTTATTTTTATTAGTTGGAGGCTAATTACTTTATAACATTGCAGTGGTTTTTGTCATACATTGAAATGAATTAGCCATGGATTACATGTATTCCCCATCCCGGTCCCCCCTCCCACCGCCCTCTCCACCCGACCCCTCTGGGTCTTCCCAGTGCACCAGGCCCGAGCACTTGTCTCATGCATCCAACCTGGGCTGGTGATCTGTTTCACCCTAGATAATATACATGTTTCGATGCTGTTCTCTTGAAACATCCCACCCTCGCCTTCTCCAACAGAGTCCACAAGTCTGTTCTATACATCTGAGTCTCTTTTTCTGTTTTGCATGTAGGGCTATCTTTACCATCTTTCTAAATTCCATATATATGTATTAATATGCTGTAATGTTCTTTACCTTTCTGGCTTACTTCACTCTGTATAATGGGCTCCAGTTTCATCCATCTCATTAGAGCTGATTCAAATGAATTCTTTTTAATGGCTGAGTGATATTCCATGGTGTATATCTACCACAGCTTCCTCATCCATTCGCCTGCTGATGGGCATCTAGGTTGCTTCCATGTCCTGGCTATTATAAACAGTGCTGCGATGAATATTGGGGTGCACGTGTCTCTTTCAGATCTGGTTTCCTCGGTGTGTATGCCCAGAAGTGGGATTGCTGGGTCATATGGCAGTTCTATTTCCAGCTTTTTAAGAAATCTCCACACTGTTTTCCATAGTGGCTGTACTAGTTTGCATTCCCAGCAACAGTGTAAGAGGGTTCCCTTTTCTCCACATCCTCTCCAGCATTTATTGCTTGTAGACTTTTGGATAGCAGCCATCCTGACTGGCGTGTAATGGTACCTCATTGTGGTTTTGATTTTCATTTCTCTGATAATGAGTGATGTTGAGCATCTTTTCATGTGTTTGTTAGCCATCTGTATGTCTTCTTGGAGAAATGTCTGTTTAGTTCTTTGACCCATTTTTTGATTGGGTCATTTATTTTTCTGGAGTTGAGCTGAAGGAGTTGCTTGTATATTTTTGAGATTAATCCTTTGTCTGTTGCTTCGTTTGCTATTATTTTCTCCCAATCTGAGGGCTGTCTTTTCACCTTGCTTATAGTTTCCTTTGTTGTCATTGCCACTATTCTTAAACTTATTCTTCTTTATTGCTTGTTCTTTTTGCCTCACAATGTCACTGTCCTTCTTTAGATTGAGGATTCTTCATTATTGATCATAAGATTGTACTAAATGATTTGCAGCAGTTCTTGCAGCTCTGTGACTTTTTCATAGTTCAGTTTATCTTCATCTGTTCTTTCCAGGGCTCAGATATATTAACATCACTGACTTCTGTGCTACATGATGACAAAGAATTTCCCAACCCAGAGGTGTTTGACCCTGGCCACTTTCTGGATGAGAGTGGCAACTTTAGGAAGAGTGACTATTTCATGGCTTTCTCAACAGGTAATAATTTTTCCCCCCATTCAGTACTTTAGAGGACAGGATACCTTCTAAGGATCAGTTGGGAGTTACATAGTACCTACCCTGGGGCTGGTAGAAATGCTCATGCCCATGATGAGGGGCAGCAGCCCAATACCTATGCACTTTCCCTCGCCTTGAAACATCCTCATTATTGGGCTAGATTACTGGAGCTTTGGAGAGGTGACCCAGTTCCTTCCATTTAGAAATAAAACTTGAGCTGGGAACTGAAAATATCAGAGAACTACAACTTAGCCAAAGAGAACCTTGTGTTATAAAACTTGAAACTTCAAGGTGTGTTAGAGCTTGGTGAAGAATAGGTATACTTAGAGCAGAGAACAGAGGCTGTGAAGAATGAAAAGAAACATGTGGGACTACTAGACCAGGATCGGAAAATACAGTCAATATATGTGAGTTTCTAGAAAAAGATGGGTAGAAATTTGAAAATATGAAATTGCAGTTATAATGCATGAAAAATTTAATCAAGTGCTTGGAATAGTCAGTAAATATTTCTTGATGAATGATATTTTATCAAGGAATGATATTTGTTATGATAAGATGTTAGGTAGATAGCATATGTGTTCACCCTTTTCCCATCTGTCCATCCAGCCATTCCATCCATCCATTCAAACTTTCATCAAATGGATACTACATAGTCTCTTTCTGACAGCCAGAAAGACAGAGTTCAAGGAGTATGTACCCTCTGTTTGTTGTTTCCAGGGAAACGGATTTGTGTAGGAGAGGGCCTGGCCCTCACGGAGCTGTTTTTATTCCTAACCACAATTTTACAAAAATTTACCTTGAAATCTGTGGTTGACCCAAAGGACCTCGACACCACCCCAGTTGTCAATGGGTTAGTTTCTGTGCCACTTTTTTACCAACTCTGTTTCATTCCTATGTGAGGAATGTTAGATCCTCTGATTTCTTCAGTGATGTTGTCTTCAACTCCCTCTCATCTGCAGCATCGTTCACCTGCTTCCCACCATCTTTTCTGAGAGTGCCTGCTCAGACCTCTCCTCACACAATTTATTATGTAATTTCACTGAAGAAATGTATCTGCTCTTCTTCATTACTATAACATCCATATTGGCCACCAGATATGCAAATAATTATATAATATTGAGTAGTTCTATGTGCCTAGTGCTATGCGCGCCATACAATATAGAACAAGATGATTACTGTGTGTACAAGATAGAGCTATTTCTGCTATGCATATTCCTAATAAAACACATAATTTGATAAGCCAGTTCTCAAACTTTCCTTCTTTTGTGCATATTGCATATAAGGGAGGAAAGAAAGAAGGCAAAGATGTCATGTGGTCCTCATATGCACAGAGGACAGAGGGAATGAGAGTAGAAAAGCTCTCTGGGCTGCTTTTAAAATGAGTTACCCGAGGTTTGGATTTGAAGGTGGAGGAATTGTTTTCAGGAGCAGTTTCATCCTGTAGGAAATACTGAGATCAGTGATTGTTGACGTTTAATCACTCAGCCATGTCCAACTCTTCTGCGATCTCATAGCCTGTCGCCCACAAGGCTCCTCTGTCCATGGGATTTCTCAGGCCAGAATTCTGGAGTGTTTTGTCCTGCCCTCCTCCAGGGGATCTTCCCAACCCAGAGATTGAACCTCCACCTTTTAGGACCCCTCATTGGCAGGCAGGTTCTTTACCATTAGTGCCACCTGGGAAGCCCTTTCAATGTGTACTAAGAACTCCAAAACTCAACATTCAGAAATATAACAAGCCATTTTAAAAATAGGCAAATGACTTCCCAGGTGGTCCACTGGTTAAGACTCTGAGTTTCCACCTCAGGGGGTAGGAGTCTGATCCCTGGTTAGGTAAGTTTCATTGCACAGCACAGTGCAGTCAGAGGGAAAAAGAGCTAGTGATCTGAATGGATACCTCACCAAAGTAGATATATGCATGGCAAATAAGCATGTGGAAATGCTCAACATGATATATCACTAGGGACTTGCAAAAAATAACAGTAATGAGATACCATTACACCCATATAACAATTAGTAAAATCCAAATCACTGACAAAACCAAATATTGGTGATGACGTGGAAGCAGCAAGGACTATTATTGTGTACAATTTTGCACGGTACAGTCACTTTGGAAGTCAGTTGATAGTTTTTGCAAAACAAGATATGTGATTATGAAATGATCCAGCAATCACACTCCTTGGTATTAACCCAATGAGTTGAAAACTTTTGTCCACATAAAAACCCTCACATGAATTTTTATAGTTACTTTATTCATAATTACCAAAACCTGGAAGCTACAAAGAATCCTTCAGTAGGTGAATGCATAAACTGCAGCACATCCATACAATTGAACATTATTTTGTTCTTAGAAATGAGCTGACAAACCATGAAAACTCATGGAAAAACCTTATGAGAATTACTTTGTGAGAGAAACCATCTGAAGACTACATACTATGATTTCAACCATACAACATTCTGAAAAAGGCAAAATTATGGAGACAGTGAAAAAAATCAGTGGTTGCCAGGAGTTTGGTAGGAGGGAAGAATGAAGAAGTGAATCACAGATTTTTAGGGTAATGGAACTATTCTGTTTGATACTACAATGATCTATTCAAGTTATTATGATTTTGTCAAAAAACATAGAACACAACGCAGAAGACAAAACTTGTAGAAACCATGGACTTTGGTTGATAATGCTGTGTCAGTTCATTGAGTGAAACAAATATACCAAACTGGTGAAGGCTGCTGATAGGAGAGGTTTTGGGGTATGGTAATGGACATGTGGGAATTGTATACATTTCACCTAGTTTGGGTGAGAACCTAAAACTTTTCTAAAAATAGCTTCTAGTATTTAAAAGAAAAAATCCAACTCTACTTCACAACTCTTGTCAAGGCAAGGTGCATTCATCTATGGTTGTGCAGGCTTTAATGCTGATGCCCTCCTGATCGTTTGGACATCAATTGGAATTTCAGTTGATGTGCGATATCACTAAATTGAGAACAAAAAATGCTGAATTCTCAGATAGGTTCTGGTATTGATGAATTGATGACAGTTTAATCTCATGGTTGCAGTCACCATCTGCATTGATTGTTCACTTGAAAAAATTAAGATCAGGTGAGTTGATCTCAGAGCTCCAATTATTTGTCATTCCTTCATACCATAAGAATTGCCATTCATAAACCCTGGCAAGAAGATGGAGGTACAGAGCAAGACACTCCTTTCTCAAAGAATAAAATAGTTGCTAACGGAGAATGACTGAGCTTACTTTATTCAAAATAAACTGAGTTAGCTCTATCAGAGTTAGAGCCATTTGAGCTAGGCAACAAATCAGTGCTTAGGTTTGTCCTGATTAAAGTGGCCATGGAGACCTAGGTTCACTCAGTTCAAAAGATTACAAAACCAAAGTTTTCTGACCCCCAATTAAATAAGCAGGTTCTATAATTATTAACTATATTAATATTTACTTTGAAAGCCACTGATTAGGGTGCATTATGAAACTTAATGGTACAGTAAATACTGGTGTACCTAGTTGCACTGACTGTTTGCTGGAAGGAAAAGTCCAAGACCAAGTATGTGGGTTCCAATGTGAGCCCTAATACCTGTGGTTTGTATGTCTTTGCCTTAAGTACTGACTCTCAGAGATCCTGTTTCTTCACACTTAAGGTGAGAGCAGTTTACATTAGGCAAAGTTATTTGAGAAAATCTGAAGAGATATGATGGTATGGAAATTGTGCGAATTGTCAATCTCCCAAAAATATCAGGGGTAAAACATTTTGTAACAGGGGCCTTGACAAAACTTAACTTTTCCTTAAGAGCTTAGAAACAACTGGACTAAAATTTGGGCTTCCCTCGTAGCTCAGCTTCCTGGAGAAGGATATAGCAACCCACTCCAGTATTCTTGCCTGGAGAATCCCATGGACAGAGGAGCCTGGCGGGATAGAGTCCATGGGATCGCAAGAGTCAGACACGATTTAGTGGCTAAACCACCATGTTGACATTTGTACAGATTTTCATTTGTGCAGACTTTTTAACTAGTGATCTAGTAATTATGTCTTTCCAGGGATACTTAGATCTTTATGACCTCTGTGTTTAGCTGTGTGTATTATGGTGCTTCTGTGCTGTGGGTGCATTTAATGAAGTCCCAGCCTTCTCTCCTGTACTTAATCTTCAATGGTTGCTCTTTCTATAATTTCACTTCCCTGGTGTGCATCCTTCAGTCCATCATTTCTGACAATGACAGACTGAAAAGCGACAGAAGCTATGTCTCAAAGTGACTGAGAGGTGGGGAAAGACATGGTATCTCAAACTTTCCCAATAAATTATTTATCAGTTACACTGATATTTTCAGATTGTGTCTTTATCAGTTGAAGTGAAGTCGCTCAGTCGTGTCCGACTCTTTGCGACCCCATGGACTGTAGCCCACCAGGCTCCTCCATCCATGGAATTTTCCAGGCAAGTGTACTGGAGTGGGTTGCCATTTCCTTCTCCAGGGGATCTTCCTGACCCAGGGATCGAACCGAGTCTCCCGAATTGCAGGCAGACGCTTTACCGTCTGAGCTACCAGGAGAGCCCATCTTTGTCACTTACACTGATGAAATTTTAACTCTTCAGTGATGGAAAGGGAAACCATGCGTTTTTATTTTTCTTCTTTTATTGTAATATAGTTGATTTACAATATTATATTAGTTTCAGATATACAACATAGAAATTCAATATTCTATGTACTATACTTTCTTTAAAATTATTACAAAATAATGACTTCATTTTCCCATGTTGTATAATATATCCCTGTTGCTTCTTTATTCTATACATAAAAGTTTGTTTCTTAATCCCATCACCTGTTATGCCCCTCTCTATTTGTTTCTCTCCACTGGTGCTTCTAGTTTGTTCTCTACATCTGTGAGTCTGTTTTGTTACATACATTCATCTTATTTTTCAGATTTCACATGTGTGTTGACATAAATACCTGCCTTTCTTTTTCAGACTTTACTCACTAAGCATAATGCTCTCTAAGTTCACTAATGTTGTTGCAAATGGAAAATTTTCATTCTTTTTTATGGCTGAGTGATATTTCAAAGCATATGTGTATACCATTTTTCCTTATCCATTTATCTGTTGATGTTCACTTAGGCTGTTTCCATATCTTGGCTACTGTAAATGATGCTGCTATGACCATTGGGATGCATGTATCTTTTCAAAACTATGCATTCATGATCTTTAGATATATAACCAACATTGGAATTGCTGGATCATATGGTTATCCTATTTTAATATTTTGAAAAACTTGCATACTGTTTTCATTAGTAGTTGTACTAGTTTACAACCCCACCAACAGTGTATTAGGGCTTCCCTTTCTCACATCCTTTCCAATGTTTGTTACTTGTGGTCTTTTTGATGATAGCCATTCTGGTAGGTGTAAAGTGGTATCTCATTGTGATTTTTATTTACATTTCTCTTATAAATGCCAGTATTGAGCATCTTTCTTGTCCCAGTCAGTCTCCTATATATCTTCTCTGGAGAAATATCTATTCAGGTCTTCTGCCGATTTTTAAATGTTTGCTTGGATTTTCTTGATATTGAGTTGTATGAGCTGTTTATACATTTTGCACTTTAATGCCTACTTGAACAAGTAATTTTCACATATTTTCATTTATTTGAGAGGTTGTCTTTTCATTTTGCTGATGATTTCCTTTTCTGTGTGATAGCTTTTAAGTGTAGTTAGGGCCTATTTGTTTATTTATCCTGTTGTTTCCTTTCTTTAGAAGATAGATCCAAAAAAATACTTCTATGATTTATGTCAGAGTGTTCTGACTATGTTTTCTTTTA